TCCGCTCGACATGGGGTTACGTCGACGTGATGCGGGTCGAAATTTTGCCGTGTCGGCGGCGCATGTGCGACGGAAGCCGATCGAAAGCTCCGCCCGACGACAGCCTTTGTTTAATCCTTGCGATATCTACGCCCACGATGGCAGCGGTGTAGTTAGAAATCCTGTAAATTTCGCGAAAAAATGTTCATCGCCAAATGTTAAAAAAAAAATAATAAAATAAAATATGCATGTATGAATGGAGAATATTATAGAATTTGATCTTTGACAAAGATACAACCTTTGAAAATTTAATAGAGAAATCATCTATATCCGGCTTCACACACATACAGTCACGTTTTACATACATATATCTAGTATACGTACGTATATTTCGTGATTAAAATAGGACTTACGGGTTTATTTTATTCTTATGTTAAAATTTTTAAATATAATGTCTCATCATGAACGTATACACATGGGATTAATATCTCAACACGTAAATTTATATCAGAATATATTTGTATTTCTTCATAGATGTTCCTATAAGTTTTAAATTCATCAAATTCATATTGAGGTATTATTAACTTTACGTATACCTAGGAAAATAGGACTGTAAAAGAAGAGCTTGACAACTGGTAGCGTGGCCGAGCGGTCTAAGGCGCTGGTTTAAGGCACCAGTCTCTTCGGAGGCGTGGGTTCGAATCCCACCGCTGCCATTTTTTTTTCTAAATTATTGTAAAAATTTAATCTTTTTAAAAAAATGCTTTCATTTAAAAATTATTATATCACAGTACTTGCGACTATTCACAATTTTATGACTATTTATTGTCGATAAATGATCGCGTTGTTTATCATGTGTGCATATAACCGCGTTGATAAAACAGAGCTCAAGCTCTGTAAACTGTGTAAGCTCGAAATAAACAATTTAAAATAGCAGGATTACGTGATTTCAATATTTCTACGTAGCTCAGAAAAATCATTTTCGTATCAGCGACATGTCTGTAGACGAGGAGATAAGATACGCAGCGACCTGGATTTAAAATTGATCACGTTTCGCGGAAATTTCGATTATCTAGTTCTCAAACGTGTGTGAGTCATGACGACTGTTAAACGGTGCGTAATCGCTTTGTACATCGGAAACAGATAAATATTGTCACGCTACATATACGTCATATCACAAATGAAAAAGAATTAAAATGAGACAGCACGGGTTTCACGAGTCCACAGTTCAATAGCGGTCAGCTAACGATTCGAAGCTGCTGTCTCACTCCTCTTTCCTCGGATCAACTCTTATAGAAATAGTAGCAGTAAAAAAAGATACTTAATTTACAGATGACAATATAAGATTTTAAGATTTTCAAATTATTTGTTATAATATTTAACTGATGAGATTAAGTTCTCTTTCACTCGAATCTGAATTGCGATAAAAAATTTTCGTGAAATTATTGATTCATACTTTTCTTGAAGAATGATAGGCAATATATTCCTAGAAACATAAAATATTAAGAGGTGATTGTAATACAGCAGATATTCGAGTCGAATTAATTAAAGTAAAACAAACAATGTAATATACTATATTTTTTTATCAGCAAAGTTTTAATATTTTGCAGCATCATCGTCTTTCTTACTCCAATTTCCTTATTCTAAGAAAGCTGCATCAGGATGACTTATTGCAATAGTTTGATGATTTTCTGTTCTCTGCTCGCCCTCTCAATGCGAGATATCGAAATTGAATTGAATCATGAGGGAAATCAAAACTGGAAAGAATCGAAGCTTTTTGTCCGTGATGTCCCCACAAGCGGTTGTTTATCGAAATAAAAAAAAAATGATCTCTAAAGCTTAAAAATGTCGAAACATGTCGCCAAATAGATAGAGCTTTCGAAAAGATACGTCTATCGCCGAGAGATCCGATAAAGAGATACCTCGTCGTTGTGGCCTCTGAGCTCGTAACGTACAAAAAGTCCAAAGTCAGTGATATCCTCTCCACAGTAACGAAACGGCATTTACATTGACGGATGTTCGCGCCGGCGGAGTTTTCACGAGACGCCAGATATCAATCTACGAGATTTGTTACATCACTCGGCGAGGAGTGTGATGTGTATAAGAGAGTTGTCGAATGATTCGGAATCTGTTATACGACGTCCCGCTTTATCAGTAGTAATATCGTGCGATCGATACTACTCAGACAGATTACTACTTTGGTCGGTCAGCATTGTAACGCGAGCCCGTCAATCGCGATCGGAGATATCGTGTTCTATAATTAGACGAAATGTTATATTCGAAATAAAATCGGAAATAGTTCGGAAATAATCGGATTGTTCGATCGGATTGTGTTACATTCCCCGCGGTGAAACCGATCGGGGACGCGACGCGCCGATTCAATAATCGCACAAATTACGGTTGCCGAAAGACTCTCTGATAATCGCGATTAGCGCGCGGTGCGATACAAATAGCATTCGTCCTCGAGCAAACTTTCTTCGTCGAACGACGATTGGCTTGGAGCGGTGATCTCACATTCCGTTTGCCCGCGTGACGATACGCACGTGTCGGCTGTCTGCCTGCGAGCTACGCACGACCACGCACTCGAGCCCCCGGGCTGTTGTTCGGAGCGAGAAAGAGTGAGGATTTTCCGAGTGGTGTTGGAGAGAAGTGCGTGCAGACTCTCGTTGTGCGATTATTGCGCAGAGATTCAGCCTCGATCACCGATCATGGTCACCGCGGATGACAAGATCGTGCGCGCATCGACGCGCGAGATGCTCGAATTGCACGTCTTATCCTTCGCGTATGGTCTATACTTGATAGTCCGACGATTTCTCAAATGGGTATGGGACCCGAAGAAGTTCTTTATGCTGCAACAGCGAGATCAACCACCACCGTGTTTGGTCGACAACAGCCTCGGCACGCATTCCTATGTGAAAATCAAGGTGAGCGAACGCTATGGACGCACGTATATCACACGTGGCTATATCTGGATAAGTTCTACTTTATATAATCTGCAAGATATACAGAAAAACGATGTATATTCTTCACTCATGACCCTTGATAACACTGCCTTGATGACATGCGAAAAAAATTGCTCGCGCTATTCATCTATGACTCCAAAATTGTCTCTGAAAACGCATGCTCGATAAGAATATTCGAATCTTTCGAAACACAATCATAAGGAGAACGAATTTCTCCATTCATGAGAGATATTTATTTTTCTCGATATTCTGTTTATCTTGCGAGAGATTATGGATAATCTAGTTGTTACATAATTATATTATTTAATTGCACAATTATCTCGCAACGCTATCTTATTTTTCCGTCAAACTATCTTGCTCTCAACTATTTCTAATCACGCGAACTGTCTAAAGACATTTTAAGACATAACTTAAAACATAACTTTATCTAAAAACATCTGTAAGACTATATTAAAAATATGCTAAAGATTTTATTGAAAGACATCTTAAAAATGTCTTTGTATGACTTGAAAAGATATCTGAAAATTATGACTTTTATTAAATTTGGAGCTTGCCATTTGCCTCGTTAGATACATTAATATTTAAAAGAAACATGTCGAAAATATAAATAGCCATAATAATCCATAATAAATTTCTCAATAACTTAATATTTTATATATTTTTTCTTTATACATTTTTAATCATAAATTTATAATAAATACTGTTTCGATCTTGGATTGTTGCAAATCCACTCGAGTCGAAAATATTATAATCTTGTCGAAATCGTGTGACGAACTCATCTTACGACATCAAGTGCAGGCGAATAAAGAACTCGAATAAAGAATAAACACGTTGCTTATATTGATAAATGAATATTTTTAGATCAATCTTTATTTTTTTCAGCGTACTTAATTATGAATCCTGATAAGTGTTGAGACAGGTTTAGAGATCTAGCTTGAAATCTACAAATAAACATATGAATGAGTGGATTTTTTATTAAATGTTAATATTTTAATATTGTTTGTTAATACTATATATATATATATATATATATATATATATATATATATATTAATGTTTTAAAATATGTAGTGTAACATCATATGATAAAACGAATGTGATGTAACGAAAAGATGGTCACTTTGAGAACATTTTCTTCAATTAATTTTATAAATAAAGTCTTGTATGATCATAAAGCTTATATTCATAAGATATTTTTTCTTGTTTTTTTTTGGCCTCTAGATTCACTCTTTATCTTATTACATTATGTTATATAAAATAAAAAAGACTTTGAATCACTACACAAGGATAAAAATTTATATTTTTGTTCAGAAAACTATCAAATGGACTAAAATTTAATAAGTATAATTAATTGCATAAAATATTTTACGAACAATTTTATTCAATTATTTTATAATTTTTCATTATATTTAAATAAGTAAAACTTGCTTAAAAATATTCATATACATCTCACTAGAGATTATAATAATGATTATAATAATAATT